CCAGACCCAGCCGTGTGGGACCAGTTGTGTACAGGGCATGCAAAAACCCGCTTTAAGCAAGCGTCCAGTCCCCTGTGCCAGAAATCCTTGCGATAGCCAGCCTGCTCCAAGGCGACGTTTGGGCCCCGCTTGCAATGTCACGGATCTGGGCTGGACCTCAGAAGGCCTCGCAGGAGAAGCGGCCGCAGTCCTTAGAAACTTTGTACATTGATACATTGATGACCGTACCTCTCTCCACCGTAGTGTTGCGGACCTCAGAAACTGGAAGTTGGATTGGGAGTCCTTCGAGAGCCTCACCAGACACCAGTTCTGGGCCGAAAATAAACGACGTGAGCAGGGCCTGCTCTTGCCGAGCGGATAGGACTCTTGCCGTGCAGTGTTTCTCTGAAGCAGAGTTTGGTATCCACTGTCGTTGCACCAAAGGTGACATGGGGCCTTGGGCTGAGCGGGAAGAACCCATCAGCTGAGGAAGGCAGGCGCCTTCAGAAATCTTCAGAAGTGCTGGGAGAGCGGCAGTGGGACTCCGCAATGTGATCAGTTCCCGCCACTGTGCCGACTCGAGGCAAGTCCGTGCCCGAGAAGGATGCCTTGTTTCTTGGAAGCAACTGCTTCAAGACAGAGTACGATCTGTGGTCCAAAAGTGGGGCCAGTGGCAGGTGTCTGATTGTGGAATGGCGGGGGGGGGGCTCATCAGTTCCTTTTCAGGGATTCCAAGGCAGACCAAAATATGTGGCTTGCATGCACTGAGGGCTGATTGGAGGCATCGCCAGATGTCCAGCTGGCGTAGGACTGTTACATCACAGCTTATCCAGGATCTCCATGTGGGAATACAGGGACATGACGGCTTTGCTCTAGGCGTTGCGACTGGAGGGTTCAAGAGCCCTGCGATTGATGTTAAGACCAAGCTCATGACTTATGAGTGCCGTTTCTGTGAGGAAAGCGTTGTCCCCATGTTTCTTGGGAGAGCCAAGGCTTTTCTGACCTACGCTGCTGCGTGGCGCCTGCGCCACAGTTGGCCAGCTGGGCCGACTCAGAAAGCGCATTTTGGCGCTCACTAAGGATTCTTGGAAACAGTCTTGAAAGTGCCACTGGCTGTGCCCGGCAACTTCAAGACCAAGCGAGGGACGGCGTGTCCCGTCCTTCTTTGTGCTTCCGAGCTGACTAAGTCACCCAGCCCCTTGAGGGGCTCAGCTCAGGACTGCGCTGGAGTGGCCCTTGAGGTGCGCGTGCGCCTCCACGCTCGCTTGGATTGCTCCTCGACTAGACGTGACTCCGAGCTTGCGAGGGCTGCGGGCCTCTCTGCTTCGCCTGCTTTGCTGGCTAGGCTTCGCAAGATTTCTAAGATTCTAAGGATCTTAGTGGTGATGCTATATCCGTTATGTGCGGCGGATTTTCCACCGATGCAAGGTGGAGCCCTGTCGGGCCTGTCAGAGATGTTTGCTTTGACTGCGGTCAGTCCTGTGTTCCGAGTATTTCCCACGTGGCGGTGGTGGCGATGGTGTTCGCCCTCTCGATACGGGCTTTTTGGCTGGCTTCCGTGGGACGCTACTCCAGAGTCAGGGGGCGTCTCTCCCTCCTACTAGGGCCTTCTGGATAGGCTTGGCAGCTTCGTTAGGCTGCATAGTGTGGTTTTGGATCCTGGCGTTGGTGGTCACGAACTTGCTATTATGGCAGGGGCATGTCCACAAGTCCTTCTGTGAGGATTGCAGTGAAAGTGTGCGTGCGTCCAAGCATGGGCCACATCCTTTGGTATTGTTCTTGCCAGGACTATGCCTCCTTGAGGTTGCTGCCTAAACAACCTTTGTTTGTTCTCCGTGCCCGGTTGGGCTGGAGCCAGGCACCTGAGGTCGGCGGCCCCTGGTGGAAGCTGGGGGTGACTTGGGTGCGAAGTGTGTCAGGAGAAAACAAAAAAGAAAAGACAAATCCAAGAGAAATTCAAGAAAGCAGTGTGCAAAAGAAAAGATTGCAAGAGGCCAATGAAGCCCGTGAAGAGGCTAAGAGCCCAACGCCTTTCTGGCGTGCTTGGCCAAGGAGCCAAACGAGAAAGTGCAGCTCTTGCACTGGGTTGGGTTGGGTTTTGCGTGTCTTGGTTGTTTCCTTCGGGTTTGCTGGGGTGTGTGGTTCTGGGGTTTTGTCCTGGCCTGGCTGCTTGGATGCACTAAACGACTGCCCTCGGGGCTGCACTTGCTTAGATGCCGGACCACAAGAGTCCGACTACACCGCCGTGCGCAATGGAAGTTCCTCGCCTGACTCGCTGGGCTCTCCCCTGAAGCATTTCTTCCCTGGTGATTCTGGGCTTGCACTTGGCTGCACCGCTGGCTTACCCGTGAGTGTGGCTAGTGTTCCTTCCGACCTAATTAGGTTTCCATGCTGGCTTACCCGCATGTTCTTGTCTTTGGGCCCTTTACCTTGGCCCAGGTTTCCTGGCTCTGGAGCCACCTGTGGAGTTTAATGCTTCGTCTTTTGTCTTTCCTGCCTTCTTTGAGCTGGTTGCTGAACTCTCACATGAAAAATGGGGACCGCGTTTCGGAATGCTGTTGCTCGTCATTGCTTTTTGCTTGTCAGCAGCTGTCATTCTTCAGGGGGCCATCACGGCTCTCCGAAAAGTTCTTCGCGCTCGTCGCAAAATTGCCAGACTTGCTCTGCGGCGCGTGATCCGTAAAGAAAGCTGTGTCATTGCTAAATGGCGTGTCAAAATGCAGATTGTCAGGCGTCGACGTCAAATACCTCGCGCTAAACATCGGCGCCTGAAGACCTCCCATACAGTTCCCTTCGGGCAGCAGTTGCCTTCTGCCAGGTTTTACGGGCTGGGTAAAGGAATCCAGGTTCGGTTGAGGGGCCCACGTCTCTCGTGTAGGCTTCGCGCGCACCGGCTGAGGCTCTCGCGACCCTAAAAGACCCGAAGCCCTAAAATGCCCTAAGCCCTAAACAGCCCCTAAAAGCCCTAAGCCCTAAACAGCCCTAAACCCTTAACCCCACAAAGCCCTAAAGCCCAAAAACACCTTAAACCCTAAACCCCAAAAACGCCCCGAACCCTAAAAGCCCTAAGCCCTAAAAAGCGCTAGAAGTTCTAAACCCTCTTGCGCGAGAGTGAGCGACAAAAAACAGCCTTAACATCTAAAAAGCCCTAAGCCCTAGAAAACCCTAAGCCCTGAAAATCCCTAAGCCCTAAAATGCCCTAAGCCCTGAAAAGCCCTAAGCCCTAGAAATCACCAAGCCGGACTCCGCCACAATGAATTGCTGGCCTAAGCCCTAGAAGACCCTAAGCCCGAAAACGCCCTGAGCCCTAAAAAGCCCTGAGCCCTAAAAGGCCCCAAAAAGCACCCTAAAAATCCCTGGAAAGCCCTAAGCCCTAGAAAGCCCTAAGCCAAAAGAAACCCTAAACCCTAAAAAGCCCTAAGCCCCAAAAAGCCCTAAACCCCTAACCCCACAAAGCCCTAAACCCTAAAAAGCCCTAAGCCCAAAAACGCCCTAAACCCTAAACCCTAAAAAGCCCTGAACCCTAGAAAACCCCAAGCCCTAAGAAGCCCTAAACCCTAAGAAGCTCTAAACCCTAAACCCTAAAACCCTAAACACCCTAAGCCCTAAAAAGCCCTAAGCCCCAAAAAACCCTTAAAAACCCTACACCCTAAAACGCCCGAAGCCCTAAAACGCCCTAAGCCCTAAGCGGCGTGTGCGCCAGTGTGAGAGTCGAAAAAGCCCTAAACACTAAAAAGCCCTAAACCCTATAAAGTCCTATGCCCTACAAAGCCCTAAATCCTAAACCCTAAAGACCCTAAACCCTAAAAACCCTAAACACTAAAAACCCTAAACCCTAAAAAACCCGAAACCCTAAAAACCCTCGCCCGCTTATGCCAGTGTGAGAGTCGAAAAACCCTAAACCCGAAAAGCCCTAAATCCTTGAAACCCAAAAAGCCCCAAACCCCAAAACCATGCAGATTGGAGGAGTGCGCACTGGATGGAAAAAAGAGTGCACTGGATGCTGATTTTGGAGTGCGCGCTGGATGCAAATCGGAGTGTGTACTGGAGTGCCCTCCCATTTGGACCACGTGGGGGTCTTGAGTTATAGATCGCGGTCCGTATGAGTGCATGTTCGTACAATTTCCTTGTGCAATAAGCAATCCACCTGATCTATAGGCTTATCAAGAACACATATGGGGTATATGTTTGAGGGTCATGAGGGATCTGGAGTATTTTTAGCGCTCTCTCTATGAGCGCGTGCACGTACTTTTTTAAATATCAAGTGCATGCTTAGAGCTCCGCGATCCGAGGGAGAGAGCGGGGAGAAGAAACGGGTAAGGAAGAAGAGGGATGGGATCGTCAAGAAGAAACGAAAGTAAAACATAAGTGTATATTGCGTCGGTAAACCGTCAAGAAGGTCAGACGGAAAAGAAGAAGACGAGCAATGGGGAGGGAGAAAGCGGGAGAGGAGGGTAAGGAAGAACAAGAGGGGGTCCGGTCGTGAAGAAGAAAAGGAGGGGGTGGATATGGGTCTTGGCCGCTACCGTAGTTTTGCTTGTCCTGAACCATAGCTGCTTAAAGCCGGCTTCTTATGTCTCCTAGAAATCTCGGCTAGCTTTCGTTGTCTCCGGCTTGCCGTTCGAGAACTGCTGTGTGTTTAGGAAAATTATCTGCACTTGAGTGCTCTGAAATACTCACATGAGAGTGCCTCACCATGAAGGCCGCCAAGGAGAATGATGCAGTCACGGCCGAGCAGTATTCTCGTGAGTCAATCCGGGTTGCACGGACCACGCGGGAGCTCCTGAAGAAGTTTGCTGCGGCATATCACTCTTTTCATGGGGATCACCACCGCCGTCGCCACGGTTTTCCCCATGACGAGCACGACTCCGAGTCCAAGCTCACCTCTCCAGCCAAGGCTTTGTACACAGAGGATGGCATGCATGACAAGATTGCCATGACGAAAGAGTTGTTCCTTCTTGTCATTCAGGATCGTGGTGTTCAGAAGCTTATGGATGACCTGGATCTACCTCATGATCGCGCCAATCTCTTCGAGATCATCGATGCGGATGGCAGCGGCACCCTTCAAATCACAGAGCTCTTGCAAGGCCTCCTGAAGATCCGTGGCGAAATAAACAAGAGTGACACCGTTGCATCCCTTTTGGCCACGAAGGCCGTGTTCAGCATGCTAAGCGAGATGAAAGAGGAGCAACTCCAGGAGTTCAAAACCATACGGGCAGAGTTCGCTCAGGCTTTGTGCCTCCACTTGGGCAGGCTATCAAGGCTATCGGCGCAATTGGCGCCACCAGTTCCAGCCCTTGGGGCAAGTGCCACCACATCTTTGCACACGAAAGAACCACCGGAGCAAGACAAGGGCTCCGAGGGCCCTGTCCTTGATCTGGATCAGGTTCGAACGTCTGCCAAACCCGAGGCCGCGGAAGATGCTGAAGCTCAGCCCTCATGAGTTCCATGAGACGCAGTGAGTTGAGGCCTCAGCCCGCACGAACTTCTCTCTGTTGACGGGGGCCATTCTTGCAAAGCCTGCCGGGGAGTGTTCGAATATGAATGCTTTCGTTCCAAGACTCCATCCTGTGTGTTTTTCATGTGCGAGCGTGTGTGTGTGTGTGTGCACGCTCGCGCACTCTGGCTTTACCATTATCCAGTCGTGCAAAGCACTACTGCGCCTATCTGCATCTGCAAGGTTGTTTCCTATTTCACCTTGCAGGTCGACCAGACATGAGTCACTTAAGAGGTGTTAATGTTCGCGGACGTTGCTGCAAGTCGAGGTTCCGTAGTGCAGTCGCTGGCAGAGGCTGTTGGGTCAACTCGGGAGTAGATGGATGTATGAGACGTTCATTCTGGCATCTAAGCCTCATTGCCTCAGCCGTGCGACTAGCAGTAAGGAGCAGCGGCTCTTTTTTCGCGTCCTCGTGTGTCCTCGTCATCTTCTCTTGAAACAAGATGTCTCACCTAAAGCGGTCGGCTGACTTGCAGCTGCATGCGCAAAACCGCAAAATGATGGTTATTGGATGGGCAGCTGTTGTTTGTTGAGGGAGTTGACTTGTGTTCGCTGCCACCAGCAGGACTGTTCTCCGAAAAGGGACGAATTGCGCTGTGTTTAGCAGCTTCTGCGAACACCTGCCAGCCTGTCAGGAAGAGGCCCTGTGAGTGGCAGCAGCGCGCTTCAGATGTGTTTGAGCCACAGTGACCAATGTTGCACCAAAGTGTATGCATGACGAGCTACACCCCTCTGGCTACGCTCAACTTGTCTTTGCACAATGTGGAGTACTGCGGCTCCACCAACAATTGCAAGCTCCACGTCTGGCAGAAGATCGAAAACGTCGAGCACCACACCCTGGTCGACTTGCTACGTGCTGGGTCTAGCTTCTAGATGTTCTTGGCGGCTCCAGCGCGAACTAGTATTTAGCAGTCTTGGTGGAGAGTTTACCTGAACAGCGCATCACCCCGCGTAGATGGGCTGCTTGCGATCTCCGCTGCCGTTGCTTCTCAAGCAGGGTCAGGGAAGGCCTGGCGCTTCACCAGGCCTTCAGCCTCCCAAGCCGAAAGCTGCGAGTCAGGCAAGGGCGTGGCGGCGTGGCGTGCGCACGTGTACGTATTACATCGTGCGGCTGCTAGTTTGGTCGGTTCCAGAGACTAGAATGACTAGAAAGCATGCCGCTGTCCAGAAAGTTGTGCCGAGCCGTCCGCAACATGCATTGATTCCTTAGATTAGCAAGGTCCATTCTTGGAGTACAGGCCGGAAGTAATCAACATCGCCGTATCCGCATTCGTGCATCCTGCAGCTCTTTCGGCTTTAGAGCATGAAGCCCGGCGAAAACAAGGAGGACAGTGATCCGAGTTGACTTGCAGAGGGCTGTGTAGGAGTTGGTGTGGAACTACAGTCATCATGACTTCCCTATTTTGCTCATGGTTACCTTGTGCTGCAGAACCTTTCAGCAAGCTTGTAGACTTGTGAGCTGTTGCTGGTGCGTTTGCGCCCGTTGATACTTGCCTGCCTCAGCCGCTACGGGCTCAGGAAGAGGTTTGTCTTCCGGAGCCATGGACAGGGATCGTTTTGCCGAACTTCTGGATGCATCATTGCAGGATTTCAGACAGCAGCTGCTAGATGCCTTCCTGGAGGGACCCAATAACCAAGATGGCCAAGATGGCCAAAGCTCGCCAGCGACGTCTATGTCTCCCGTGACTCCTGTGATGCCTCTGGGCCCCAAAGAGATTGAGGCAGGTTCTGCCAAGGACAAGGACAAGGACAGCGCATTGGAGGCATCTGCCTGGAAGAAGGTGGAGCGGCTGTTTCCATCCAAGGAAAGGGGTGTCTCCGTTCAAACAGACCATTCTGATCGAAACTCAAACTCCGTGGGCAAGACTAGTTCACTGACGCCATCGGAAGAAGTAGATTTGGCCCCGGCGCCCGTCTTCAATGCCCGCTCCTCCAAGTATCTGCGGTCTGGGCTGATAGGGGTAAACACCGAAGAGGCCATGGCAATTCGCCATCGGCTGCGTGTTCGTTTAGGAGCCCTCTCCTCGAAGACCTTAGTGTCCGGCAAGTCTTTGCTCGACGCAGTGGCAGCTTTGGGACTGACGAAGTACTCAGAGCCAGAAATGAATGACATGATCAATGTCCTGGCGGACTTCGTCAACCTCTCATTTGAGACAGAACCTGCAGACAAGTCCGATGGGGAGATGCATGAGGAGGACTTGGAGATCTTTTTCTTCAACCGCAGGGACTCGAGGCGGGGACAGGCCAAAGACAGGCGAGGCTCAAAGCCTCAAAGTAACTTTAAACAGAGTTGTGGTGGCGATGTGCTCACACATGGTTGTTGTAATTTTCATGATGTAAAACATCCAGGGCATGCCAAAGCGTTTACCAGTGTCTTGAAGATCAATCAGAAAAATGAGGCCCTGCGGAAGAGTTTGCACCTAAAGCAAGTTGACAGTGGCTTGGGCTGAGCCTGGTACGTACAGTACAGGGTCATCCTCTGAGGTGTTGCAAGATCAGGCCCCAAAGCCGAAGCCACACACCAGTAGCCCGGAATCCCCGCCAGCAAATTACTGGTAGCGTAAACCGGACAGTGTTTAAACCACCCTTTGGACAGATGCAGGTTGGCCGTTTGTTCTACATGTGAGCTGCAGGGCGTTGAGTGCACGGAAAAGTTAAAGTTTAAACGTGCAAGCCTTTCCAAGCTTTGCCTCTACAGGTCGTATGGCTCGCCGGTGTGGGAGTGGCCTACTGCAGCTGAACTGCCGCAAGCTTCAATGCGTCGAAGTGTCACTGGGAACATGTCACACTGGGCAGAGAAGCATCCACGGAGCTGCTTCAATGTTATCCCGGCACAGGCACTCATGGAGATGTTTCTCTCACAGGAGACAGAACTTCACAAGCGGATTTTTGGGCCGAAGCTTTTGGGCCAGTTCAGAGCCATCAAGGAAATTTTGTTGGCCGGTGATACCAACAAGCTTGTGGCAGAGCTGACTTTTGTACGGATCAACGACCTGGCAGCACCTCCTGAGCCAGTACATCCACTGATGCCTAGTAGTAGAGTAGGTAACCTTTAACCTTTTTGGGGTAGTATAACCCCCTGATAATCCCAAAGGTTAACCTCTAATTCCCCCACGATTACTGGACTAAGGATGTACATTGAGCCGTTGGTGGCAATCCTCATCGTCGGGAATGGCGTCATGATTGGTTTGCAGACGGAGCCAGGGTTTGACGAATGGACCGGCTGGACCTATGTCGAGCTCATCTTTGCCGCCTTCTTGCTCTTGGAAATCGCCTTGCGCATGCACCTTCTGCGGTGTCGCAGCTATTGGTGTGGGCCGGAGCGTTACTGGAATTGGTTTGATTTGTTCCTGGCGGCCACGGGGATCTTTGACATCACAGTCCAGCTGGTTCGCCAGGAAAGGTCGGACTTCGCGGGCACATCGCTTTTGCGATTCTGCCGATTGATTCGCTTGGTTCGCATTGTCAAGGTCCCCGGCCCAAAGCAGAGGTAGAGAGAGAGAGAGAGATAGTGCACAGAAGAAGAAGAAAAAGAAGAAGAAGAAGAAGAATAAGAAGAAGAAGAAGAGGAGACAGAGAGCAGGGGATAGTTTTGACAGAAAAGGTACGTTTCTCCAACGCAAAAGCAAGTCCAACTTGTCGATGTTCCTTCCTTCACCCACCCTTTCCGACAAGGTGTTTCGAATCAAATTCATGAAGGACCTTCGTCTCATGGTGAAGGGCCTTGTCGCGGGAGTGCGAACTCTCACGTTGGCTTTTTTCCTGCTCTTTGCCGTGCTTTACGTCATCTCCGGCTTCGCGACGATGACCATTGGCAGTGACAGCCGAACGCGGGACCTTGGTCTGGAAGAGTACTTCTACAACATCCCTTCTGCCATGTTCACAGCCTTCCGATGCTTCAACGGTGAGTGCGTGAACGAGAAAGGTGAGCCCATCAACTATTTGCTTGCAGATGCTTTCGGCTTGCCGTTTCGTCCTCGGTTGCTCTGTCTAGGTTGTCATCTTACGGTTAGAGTGGGAACCGGAAGGGGAAGCAGAGAGTCGAGTTGTCGTGACGTAAGAGTCTTCCAGGTCAGGGTCGTTGTGTGTTGCCGTGTTTTTTCAAATTCATCTTTTCAAAACTGCATCCCGCATGTTGTCTCGCCTACTTACCTCCCTCGCTCCCTCGTTTGATATTTTCTCTCTGGGGTGGGTCTCCTTCTTACGGTCGCCCACCTCGACTTTTTTACTTGAATGTTCTTCGTCTCTCTATTTCTCCTCCCCTTCCTTTGCCGTTGACCCTAGCTTTGAAAACTACCCGTGCCTCCCTCATTCGCGATGTCTTTGCTCTCTCTTACTTATTCTAGCTTGCGGTTCAGGGTTCCTTCTTCGTTTTCGTGACTTCGGGTTATTTCTAGGGTTTGTGGATGGATAGTTCAGCCATGTCGTTATGTCCGCAAAAAAAAGTCCTGGTTGTCATGGTTGCTGGTTTTTTTTTTTGCATTGTCTGTTGCTTTTTCCCGCCTCAAGCTTGCTTTTCGGCTTTTCAGCTCTATCATGGTCTGATTTCTCTTTGAGATTCATGGTCATTAAAGAACAGGAGAGTGTTCACGTAGCTGTCTTCCACATCTGTACATGTTTCCTGTGATATTTGTTCTTTTCAAACTGAAATCTTGCTGTGTCCTTAGTGCTTGCTGCTATATCTTGATCTAAACTTTCCGTGATCGGTTGCTAGTCGTGCTTGCATAACTTGATAACCCACCGACATTGCACAAGTATCTTGTGTTGTATTGAACTCCTTTGTCAACCTGTGTCGTGGTTGTGCTGCCTCGTCTTAACCGATGATCACCGTAAAAATCAGCTCCGTCCCATTCCCGGGATTTGTCCACGTTCGAGCTGGTACATTCTAAACATTCGCTTCGGCCGCAGCCGTGCAGCAGAGGCCCCCTCTGTTTCCCCGAAAGCTGAAGTGACAAAGCTGTGCAGGGCAAGCTTCTGTTCGGGGCCATGCCGATTCGAAATCTCAGTCGGCCTTGTCCTTTGTTCTATATTTTTGCACAGGCAGGGCTCCGGAGAGAAGATGCCCTGGCAAATCTCCCCAGGCAGTTCATTGCACTAACACACAAGAGACAGTGAGGATTCATCACCCACACCGATCAATGCAGGCGCGAGGAAGAGCAAACTATACATCTTTCCATACATGTTGGCGCACATCTACAACTGCATGACATGTACGTATCCTCATGCGTCGGGGTGCGTTGAGGTTCATAATATGCTATGTCGTCAGCTACATGCGCCTTGGCTCGCCGAATGGTTTTCCACTTGTTCCAGCTACAAATTCCCTGAACATAGCTCAATTTCTCATGTTCAGCCCTGTTAAACCCTATAAAGAGCAAGCACAGGCTTGTGACCATGGGGATTTTCAATGTGATCCTTGCTGTGTATGTCGACATCACTATGAAGGCGGCAAAGGAGAACGATGCCGTCACGGCAGAGCAACATGCCAGGGAGTCCATCCGTGTTGCCAAAACCACCAGGGAGTTGTTGAAGAAATTTGCCGCTGCCTACCACGTTTTCGCTGACATGGAAGACGGCAAGACCAAGCTTGACAAGTTGCCCTCGCACATGCTCTTCACGGAGGATGGGATGCAGGATAGGATTGCCATCACGAAGGAACTCTTCCTGCTGGTCATCCAGGATCGTGGCGTGCAGAAGCTGATGGATGACCTTGAGCTGCCACCAGATCGCGCCAATCTCTTCGAGATCATCGATGCAGATGGCAGCGGCACCCTTCAAATCACGGAGCTCTTGCAGGGACTCCTCAAGATCCGTGGCGAAATAAACAAGAGTGACACCGTGGCATCCCTTTTGGCCACAAAGGCCTTGCAGGGCATTGTGGAGGCTCTGAAGGAGGAGAACATGCAGAACTTCTCCAAGCTTTACCAAGAGCTTGAGCGCCAGCATGCCGAGTCCTGTACCCATGTGACGAGAGTGATGTCGAAGACCAGGCTCCGAACCCAGTCCAGGTCCAGGGCGTCTCCGAAAGACTTGACGAGCTTGGATGCACCCCTTCGACCAGACGACTTGCCCCCCGAAACTGAGTTGGAGCCCCCCTGAGAGAATATTCTGATCAAAGTGGAAGAAGATCGTTGGAGTTGGTTGAATTCAAAAATGTCTGGTGTGTCACTCCTTGATTGTACAGACAGCTTTCAGAGAACCCAAATGTGGCATGTTTGCTTGGGAGTGAACTGCAGCGAAGCTGCGACCGACCCAAGCGCTGGCCACACCGATAATGTCATGGTTGCAGGTGCTACGGCCCAGTGCAAAGCGTCACTCTTAAGCTTTGAAGTGTTCCCAGGCTTTGATTTGTGTTCTGCCGTGCTGGTGAATGAGTTCATTGGGCAGTGCTGCAGCCTTCGCGAAAAACATTACATCTGGCATCTAGGCTTTTCAATTTTTCAGCAGACTTGCGCTGAAATTTGCGCTTTGTCTTGCCAGACCATGACCGACACAGCCAAATAGATGCACAGGACTTCCATTCCGCTCGAAGTGCTCGTTCTGTGACAAGCATTCTGCACTCCCTCCAGACTGTGAGAATTCAGTAGGGAGCGACCAATCTTGCTCATGCTGCTGATGTAGGCTGCGTACATGAGTCGCAACAGGTTTGGGCGACCATTTTGCAACAAGGGTTTGTCACAAAGTCGTTTTGTTTGGGGCCCGTAGTGGGACAAATGGCGGACATTTTGAGCCGCATGCGGCATAATCTGGCGAGGAGCAAATCATCCTAATCCAGCCAGCTTCAGACTACCAGATAGACGATGCTTTCCGAACATGTGGTGGGGTGCAGGATGGAGCACAAGAGGAGAAGGCTAAGACGGGTGGACCTCGCAACAGCGCTGGCCAGCATGAGCTCTTCCAGGCGCCTTTGCTCTTGTGATGCGCGGGTGCATGTACGGTGGTTTACGACATCTGACACTGGCCAGGAGTGGTCGAGTTTCCGCATGCAGCAGATCAAGGATGTGGTGACTTGGGAACTGGAAAGGCTGTCGCAGGACCTGCATGAGCAACTTGCCTGACAGAAGCCAGGCCGTGTCGCTGTGAAGCCCACTCTTTGCCACACACGAGCATCACTTTTTAAATGATCACGTGGCAAGGCAAATTTTCGGTTCCCAGTACCAGATTTCGAGCCTGCTGGGGCCAGCTAACAGGCCGGGCCATTTCCATTCACCTGTTGCACAGCACAGCCGTCGCTTGAGCTTGGCAGGCACTCTCGCATGCCGGCAGTCCTCGAGCAGACGGCAGAGCTGCAGCCGCCACAGTTTGACAAAGGCCCATGGTGGCCTTTGCTTTCACTAGCTTCGGGGGGTTGAGGCGGGCTTGATGAACTTCATGCAGCCTCATCGCTTGCGACGCTGTGCGCAGGTCCTCGTCACAGCACACAGTCACAGCCCCTTGGCAGTGGATGGGTCACAACACTTCGCAATGCCAGGCGGCTTTGCAACCAGCAGTGGATGCTTCAGGTGACGAATGATCACATGACAGGTCCTGTTGTACACATCTCTCGAGAGTTGTGCCGAGGCAGACTTCATCCTCTTCTGGGATCACAGGCACAGTTAGAAGCAGCTGATCGCAACAAGTAGTATCATTGTCCAGCTCCGTTTTTCGTGGTTTTATGATGGGACACTGCGCCGTGACGCTCTGCGACATAGACATGCTCGGGCTTGAGATTCGGAGGAGTGAACTTCAGAGCTAGAACATTGAAGCATTCAGGCACTTGTCCAGAGCATCTAAGGAAACTCTGGCAGGAAGAAGACCCCGTGACTTGTTTGAAGCCGTGCTGTTTAGCACGTTGCGCTTGCATTCTCTCGAAGCTGGCTGGCTGCGGCATTCAGGTCTTCACTTGACCTAAACCCTAAGCCGTAAGCCCTAAACCCTAAACCCCCTAAACCCAAAACCCATAAACCCCGAAACCTAAACGACACTCCTGGGTTTCCGCTGGCTTCAACCGCTAGGGAATCTCGCTCTAGATAGTCAGGGTGCGGTGGAGGACGAATCGATGTCTCTAAGCTGCTGATCGTTCAGGATGAAATTTTCGTGTGGGCTTCGTTTGCAAGAAGGTGGCAGAGGACTTTAATGTAAATGAAGCCACACCCGAAGAAATTCTCATCTGGGCCTCATTGAACACGGCCATGCCCGGACAAATCCTGTACATGCAGGCTTGACGTGGTTTGGCGGTCGGGTGGGTGTGTGTGTGCGTCCGTGGGTGCGTGGGTGGTGTGGATACATACATGTATATATATATATACACATAAATATGTATACACATACATACATTGTTCCTAGACAAATTATGTATGTAGATAGGTTATTTGCTTCTTCAAGTTTTCTATGTAGGATGGTATATAGAAAAATAAAAGCGGAGAGAGCCTCAGGCATGCGCCGACCCTGTTCCTGGAGGATGTCCCTTCTGAGGCAAACTCCGAGGATTCGCACGGGCAGGCCATGGAAGGGGTTCGGGTTCAGGGTTTAGGGGTTAGGGCTTAGGGTTTAGGGTTTTATTGTTTAAGGTTTAGGGTTTAGGATATGGGTTGAGGGTTTAGGGTTTAGGGTAGTCCTGGGTCAAAAAAAGGGTTCGGGCTTAGGGGAAAGGGCATTCTAAGGATTAGGGTCGCCCCCGCCCCCCCCTCCCCCTCCGCCCCAGCCCCCCCCCGAATCCCTCTTAAAGAACCCCTCAAAAGGGACCCGTAGTTTTTCAGAAACTCCTGTGTTCTGAGCCATTAGAACCAAGGCAAGCCCCCCCACCAGCAGAACAGCAGGAAGAGCTATTCTCACATGATGGCAGACATTGACAATACTTCTGTTAAAGGGGATTGGAGGTGAAAAGGGGGTGGATCGCTGGCCTGCAGGCTCCATCAAGCCCGCCCAAGAATCGCCCGGCGCTGAGAGGGAGACGGCCAGTGGCCTGCAGGGTCTCTTGTTTTGCTTATGAGTTTCGGGGCCGCGAGCACTAGGGACCATAACTTGCAACAACCCCCAGATGGCAGACTTCTGCGAGAGAAGTCTAAAATTTTTGTTGAATGCCAAGAATGGGCCTCCGGCTTTTCTAATCTGTCAGCTCCGGACTTGGCGAGGCTGCACTTCCACCCGTGCTCCATAGCTTCCTTGGCATGGCTAAGAGTACAGGGGCCAGAGGGCGCCAAGCCAAGCCTGTGGAGCGTGATTCCCGCGCACGCGTAGAGGTTTTCCAGGTCTAGGGTTCCCAGAGCAAGTTGGGCCTGCATGCAGCAAGGGCGGTGAGGGGTGGTCCTTTCGACTCCAGGGTGCGAGGGTTCTGCACACCTTGGCGGTCATAGTTGCTCTTCCTGTCTATGGGTGAGTCCCACTCATGAGGCACAAATTTTCCGGGAGAAGGGCTAGATTTCATTGGTTTATGTGGGCTTTGCACGCAAGTATCTGCCTATGTCTGAAACTCCTCCGTTTACGGTGGTCTTCCGCGCTTCATCGCTGGAAGTAGAAGCTGTAAGCCTGGGCTTCCTAGCTATATTGTTGAGCAAGTTCGAGATACTCAGATCGTTCCCCAGTTCGAAGTGGTTTCTGACCAGTTTGTCCAGAAAGCAAAAACGGTACCATCCTAGCGCATCTTGGTCTTCAGACTTGTTTAGCAGAGATGTGCTTCAGATGTCCGCAGTCCGATCGTTCGGCGCAATCGTGCTGATGCTTTGAGTTTGGACACGTCTCCTCAAGCACCAGTCTTGGCGAGAAGTAATCGTTCAGTGTGCTGGCGCTGATCTCAGTCCGCATCGCGACGCGGTCTTCCTCGGCCAGGGGTGAAGGGTTCCCCCTCTGCGTACCATCTGCCTGCTCACGGCTCAACCAGAAGGTGCCAGGCTCTCATGTCGCCTCTCCTCGCCGCACCGCCACACGGCCGTAGGGGTCCCTACATGTATAGGGTGACTGGAGAATACTGGAGGGGCTGTAATCTCAGTGGATACTCGTCCTGTTATGCAGGCGGCTCCCTCCTTTCCCAGGCGACGGAGGCGCACCGTGAAGCTTCGATCTTCTTTCTGCGCGACGCAGCCCAGAGTAGATGATGATGATGATGATGATGATGATGATGATGATGACCAACGATCTGATCCGTAGCCATTGCGCCCAAAAGCCACCTCTCTCTTTGTTTGGTACCCTTCTCTTATATTGGATGCAGGAAATGGAGGCGGTCTCCCAACACCGTAGTGCTGGGCTCAGATGGGACTATGGTTGTGGTGATCATTCGGCGTGGGACTTTTACAAGTTTTTTCTTTTTTGCTATCAACTCCTGGAGGTCGAACACCGGTTATCATATTCTTAGATTTTGGTTATATAAGACAGGTATATATATATATATATATATATATATATAAGTTTTTTATGTTCGTAATGTTATTGTATTGTTAGATTGCAGAACGCAGGTCTGGAGCTCGAAATCAAGGTCGAGTCAGATGAGGCGGAAGACTGGATTCACGGCTAGCATCAAGTCATTAAGTCTGTTTGAGCACAAGAGTCTGGGTACAAAGTCTGTGAGTTTGAACGCCATAGACACGTGCGACTGCGTTTAAGGAAGAATCCGTTATCATCGCCTGCGATGGATTTGCCCTCAGCTGTGCTAGTTGTGTCTCTAATCGAAACTAACAGACTGGGTCCAGCAGCTGACATGAGAAGACACCCCCGGAGGGGTGTTTCCAGCAGATGATGCACTCCCGTATGAAATTGGCTCACGCCTTCCGCCTGCTTCAGAAGACATGGGCACACAGAGGTTGACGGGGTCGCTGCGCTTACTGAGGTGAGCAAGTCCAAAACCAGGCCCGGGGGCAGTTTGGGATAGGCGGATAGGCGACTTGAAGGCCAGCCCTTTGCCCTAAACCCTTAACCCCCCTGATATGAAAAAGAAAAGAAGGCCGAGGGCCGCCCAAACAGGGCGCATGCCTCTGCCACAGCCCCACAGCCCCATGCGTGCAAGTCATTGATCCCTGGCACGAGATACGGTGAACTCCCTAAACCCTAAACCCTGGTTTCCACAAACTTTGTGATGAGCTCCGGATCTTCAGTACTATGCAGGGTCGCCGTGTTTGTGCCTCAGACACGGCTGGGCCGCCTGGTCCAAAACCAGGCACGGAGACGCCAGGGTTCCACGATTATTTTATTGCTCTTTTCGTATATGTTTATATGGTCATATAGGCTGTAGCCCCTGTAGGGTAGCAGGCTGACGGCCTGGACCTCCCAAGAGCTGGTTCACGCTTGATACTGCACTTGCCGGCCAATCACTGGTTATATTGATATATTGATATATTGATATGTGTTCATGTTGCTGGCTGTCTCAGGTTCAGTGACGGTTTTGCCGTTTCTGATCATGACGCACGATCAATCCGAGGGGCCACCCAGACAGACATCCGACCCCCCCCCCACCTCCTGCCGATGAGCTTAGAGCTTCCTTGCTGCTACCATCCTGGGATCATTAGTCAGCTGAAACTGTGAGAGCACAGCCTTGACAGTTCTTCGACATCTTCTACAGCATCTGCATCATCGTCAACTGCTTGACGCAGCTTGTCGATGATGAACTCTCATCGTCTTGACAGTGGATGTTTGAGGCAGTTGTTTCGGGTATAACTGTCCGAAGAGTAAGAGTGCTCCACGAAGAAGCTCGGCTGGCTGTTTTCCAATAGAGTCACAAGGCGACACCCCAGCCATTTCCACAGTATCCTGTAGGTGGCGGGACACTTTACGAGACATTACTAGACCAGAAGCTTGTTCAAGAAGAAGAGCAAGAACTCAGGATGGGTCTGCAGGCAGACATGTTGGTCAATGTTCCCAGCTCAGTTGCCTCATGTTGTGTGCACCGCCACCAAGGCAAAACACCACACGACTGCCCTGCAAGGATTATTCCGATGGAATCGTGCTGGTTGTCAGGATGATCGAGCACGTTCTTGTTGCCTCTTGGCCGGTTGGCAACAGGGCAGCCCCGACATCTTGCCGGGGAATCATACCAGTAAGCCAACCGCCCAAGGCGCTCTTCACCTTTGAGATCTTTGCGCGATTGCGCGTGTACGGGCGCTGGTACTTCTCGTTGACCAGGTTGGAAGGTTTCTGGACTGCAGTTGAGACAATCAAGGGCACAGAAAGCACTGTCCTGATGGCAAGTGTTGTTGTAAGTACGGCTGCCCTAAACCCTCAACAAACCCAGACATGAGCCGAGGATGGATGAACGTCGTAGACGTCACGAGCCTGACTTGGGTTGGAAGCCAGCGTGGGCTGTATCGACAAGGGCCAACTATTTAGGATTGAGGGTTTAGGATTTACGGAAGCCCTTTCAAAGCCCACAGGATTTGAACGCGCCCTGAACGGGAGAACCTAAGGCGATGATCGTTGTCCTGTCCGGGGTAGTCTTTGGCTGGATTCTCCCATTGCTGTATGAACTGATGGGCGAAGATCTGTTCGGTGCAGGATACTCACATGCATTCACCCAGCTTTCACAGGCTGCTTGCCAGTCTGTGTGAATATCCATTGCAACATAGCGCGACATGCATGTTGGCAAGTGTGGCCTGAAGCTGAGATTGCGCAGGATTCATGCGAATGCTCTCTGTCTTCAGAGCTTTGCGGCTGCTGAGAATAGTTCGTGTCATTCAGCAAATGCCAATGTTCCGAGACGCTGGGATCATTTTAACTGTTGCAGCCGTTCCTGGTGTGTAGGTTGCGGTAGCCGAACCTACAGCCTAGACGCCTGAGACTTCGAGGAAGTGTGGCTGCTGTTGCGAGGGTTGACAAGCTCCATGCGCACTTTGATATGGACAGTGGCCGTGATTTTTGCCAGCTGCTCAGTATATGGCTTCGACAGAGAACCAGCTGCGTTCACATCGTGTCCCCACCTGGTGAATTCAGAAGTTTCGTTTCCTTTCTTCTAGTATTTAGGAGCGGGCAACACAAGTCATCGACCGAGGTGCTCACGTACATTTTCGCAATTCTGGGCTGCTGGATGATCAGCGACCAGATGAAAGCGTTGAAAAGCGATGTTGTGGACCAGGCCGAATACATTCTCTACCACCTCTTACTGATGAGCAAGCGGTAGGCGATGGTAAACGTACGCAATATAAGAGATCAGCATCCCTAAACCCTAAACCCTAAACCCTAAACCCTAAACCCTAAACCCTAAACCCTAAACCCATGTTGTATTTGCCTTGCACACTCTGGGGCCCGGTTTGGGGGGGAGCAAACTTATTGCAGAAGCCCATCTAGTGGAAAAGCATGTTTGAGATTATTTGGGGGGATTTTGTTGTGTTTCTTTGAGTAAGCAGGAAGGAAGGAAGCAACATCGCAACATCGTGAGGAATTGCTTCCAAACCCATATTTGAATCCTTTCCGAATTGGGTTGCGACGTGCAGAACTTACGGCCGTCCAGAGCCCAATGGAATGCTCTCGATCCTGTCGCACCAACATTGTTTCAACCTAGCATCGTTGTATTTTGTAATCTAATTCTGCTACAAGAGTTTTCTTCTCGCATACTTCCATCATAGTTCGCACAATTAAGAAACGTATCAAAAGAACATGTACTCTCTCTCACACATGGCAATACAGAAACGCATTTTCTCTGTGGCATATGTAACAAAGGCATAGAGATATGTGTGTATATGTACATGTATGTATCGTGCAAATATGTGTCATGCTGCATTCTAACAGTCATGTGCAAATGCATGCTATATATGTTGTAACATCATCCCGTCAGACAAAACGGTTCCTTTCTGATCCTGGCATACATGCATTGTCACAAATGCAAATGCTGTACAAGACAGTACCTATCTACATTGTGGTATGGCATTATGCATACTGTTAGAACAGCTACTACATTTTTCTGTTGTGATTATAACTACAGAAATTGGAAGTTTGTTCATTTGTTCTCACCTTCAACTCTGAGGAGGCAAGTCTTCTTCCTGTTGGTTAGCAGGGAATGAGGGAATGAGGGCCCTATATGTGCCCTTTAAGGGATGATATAGGGTACCTCATGCCCCCATTCCGTAGGGAATGAGGGCCGTATATATATATATACCCTTTAAGGGATTACATAGGGTACCTCATTCCCCCACTCCCTACGAACCAACAGCCAGTCTTCCAATGCGCCAGGAGCTCTACGAGGCCACCTACAACATGGTGAAAGGCATCGGCCCTTTGATGCAGCCACCTGGATGACAGAAAGGTTTAGGTTGGTTTAGGGTTTAGGGTTTAGGGTTTGGGGTTTGGGGTTTGGGGTTTGGGGTTTAGGGTTTAGGGTTTAGGGTTAGGGTTTAGGGCTCCCTTGAAGTGGAGTCAGCGCCTGAAGGCTTGTTGTGTGTGCCATAGTAGACGATTTAGCGGCGAGTTTCTTCACGAAGGCTTCTGATCCAATTCCTGACGCTGGATTCGTGGAATTCGAAGATGGAGAGAATCATGCTGCAACTCGCCTGCATCGTGCCTGCTCGAGGAAGCAAGTCACAGACGGTCAAGGTGCAATGCGTGCCAAGTCTTTTGTACCGTTGCAGGTACGCACCTTGGTGCTTGGCATATTTCTACATGTACATTGCGTGGATCTCAGTTGTTTGGGATCGGTAACTCAGGGTCCGTGGCTGCAATTTTGCAAGCCGTGGTTGGGTTGGCCAGCAGAAAGCTGACGTGAGGGAAGCGTCAGAGGTGTCGGTTGGGCAATTTCTAGCGCCTTTTGGACATGTGGGTTCTGGACTCTGGACTCCTGGGCAGTCGCAGTCTTGCTGAACTTGAAGTTGCGAGGGCCCTCCGGGAATATCTGTCAGAGTGCGTGCCTTGTCGCTGGCCACCAAGCAGAATTGCAAAGATGTGTCTGACGCTGCCTGGCAGAGGCTGTGGCGGTTTTCGTGCTCATGAACCTTGTGACGGCCATCATTGCTCGGCGCCGAGTTGGTTTCCGAGTAGTCGATCGGGTGTAGCTCTCAGTTGGAGCCCGTCGGAAGCATTTGATCTTCCCAAGTTCCTAAGATCCTTCTTCGCCTCTCCATGGAACTTTGTTTTGTACTTCCAGCGCTGAGCGCAACGCTCCCTGCTGAGGTGGAAAACGCAATGTCTGCCTCCAGAATGGACGAAGACCAGCGCTTGAAGCAGAGGCATGGCTGCAGTGGCTGCAACCTCAAGAGCTTTGATGGAACTTGTGTGCAAGCGGCGGAGCTGCTTGTTAGTTTACAGGATTCACAGGAGCACAGGACCTCATCGCGAACAAACTCCCGGCCCAGACGAGTTTACATACATCTGAACGGCTGAGATAGGCCGTTCCTCGGTGTGCAACATGTGCTATGGATCAAGTACGGCTAAGTACAGGATAGTACGTGAGAGAAGGCTGCAAGTCCAAGGCTGGAGGCGGGCTAAGAGAGCATCTAGGGTACCCCAGTCCCCAGCACCTCAGTGAAAGGCATGCTGACTTGGGTGAAGAGTTTGAAGTTGGGTGCTGATGAGCTAGATATGTCACTTGCCTAGGATGGAAGAAGTCAAGCGCAAGGAGCTGAAAGAGCTTGAGCACCTTGGGCATGAACGAAGGCCCTCATGCCTGCACTCTCTTCGAGTACTTTGCCTCCTTTCTTCACGTGCTCAGGGATTTCGAGGTTTTGATTCGGATGTCTGAAATGGAGGCCTTTCTTCCATGAACCAAACTTCGGCTTCAGTCAACTCCTCAACTCAGCGGAGTAGTGGATCGACTATGACCTGAGTCAGAAGGTACAGAAGAGAGCAGGCGCTGAGTAGGCCACGGTATCCCTGTGCCCCAAGACTCGATGATAGCTTCAGCTTTGCTCAAAAGGTGTATCGGCGTCCGGTAGTTGACTGTACTGAAGTGCCGACTTCGGCGTGCTTCAACGCGCAGCTACCCTTGCAACAACGGTGTAGAAGTAGCAGAAGCCGCGAAAAGAGACATCGAGGCAGGCAACTGCGACTTGGCCATGAATCCTGGCACATTCTCTTGCCATAAGGCAGCTGTTCTATTTGATGGATGCGGACGGCGATGGAACGCTAGATTGGGAAGAGTTGCCTGACTGCACAATGAATGCCACGCGAGCAACTGGCTCTCGGACCAGGGCGCTACCAGCCGTGGAAGGAATCCGTTCTAGCAGCACAACTCGCGGGCACAATTGCTTCACACAAGGTTTGAGAATGCCTTCCACGATGAAGAGATGAGTCGGCTGCTGCGCCACAATAGTTCATGCAAGCTGCACTGCGCCGCAACATTGTCCTCGTAGGACTAGACATCGAATGGAATCCACAGATGCCTTACGTTAAATCGGCAGGGACGCGAGAGAGCGAGAGAGAGAGCAAGCAAGAGAGTTGAGTCGTGTTCATATTCTCTAGTGAGCCTCCACAGAACCGGAATACACACAGCAGCTTTGGCTGCAAGCCTTCACACCCCAGCCCGCGAACACCGCGCCCTTGGGGGCGGCTCCCTTCGGGGGAGCCATGCGTGCACGGGCAGAAAAGCAGGAGTCGGGGTCTGTGTTATCGAAGTTGGGGCTTCTCGACGGCACAAATTCATGAACACACGGATCCTGTGCCTCGCAGAGCACTTTGCAGCAAGAAAACCGCGCTGCGGGGGGGGGGGGGGGGGGGGGTGGGTGGGCGTCATACGGGCAGAAGGGCTCATTACAGCCAAGGCCCTCTGATCCCCCAGCAAAGAAAGACACGGAGAGGGCGGGCTGCCTCCAGAAATAGAGAGTATGTGTATACAGTTTGTCATTCTCAGTAGTAGAGTGGGTAACCTTTAACCTTTTTGGGGTAGTATATTCCCCTTATAACCCCAAAGGTTAACCTTTAGTTGCCCCTAAGCCTAGGTACTGGACAACTAAGTATTGATGCGAAACATCGAAGGAAATGGCGCTTGCTTGATTTCCAGCCTGACGAGTGCAAGGCAAGGGGGAGCTGCCAGTGAAAAATGGCAATTAGGTGAGCATGACAAACCAAGGTTAGGCTACGGCTGGGTACTTAGCTGAGCTCACTTTCATTTACATGATTAAATTTTTATTTAGAGCAACACAATACATTGAGAAAGAGTTTTTGCACATTGCGGGTTCGCAATGCAAGTCGGTTCCCCTGCCGTGCTTGGTTCGCGATTTTCTCGCATAGAAAGTTACACACGTTTTTGCATGTTTTTGTGCAGCTTGCCAATGATGCATATAACCTTACATTGGGGTTGATCGAAACGATCAGGCCATTTGATTGTTTGTAGAAACGCCTTCGAAAAGGTACCCGGAAAGGTCCCTTGACTAGCGCGCTACCGATGCTCCATGCTGTCTGCTTGGCAGGAACTTTTCGATCTTCTTGATGACGGAGATGGGGGCATCGAGACGAAGGAATTCTTTCATGGACTGGCACGCATGAAAGGAGGCCACTTTCGTAAGGGCACATGAAAGGAGACCACTGTCTTAATGGTGCGCTTTGCAGATGGTATTTCTCTATGGCCTCAGCCAACTGCATCTCTTACGCACGCGCAGGGTTGGTACATAAAACTGGAGATCAGGGTTTAGGGTTTAGGGTTTGGGGTTTGGGGTTTAGGGTATCAGCCCCCTAAAGTGGAACTCGAGTTCCAGCTGTGCAAAGGCGCGCAGTCCAGAGATCTCATGCGGGTGGCGCAACGAGTGGTCACTTGGAGAAGCTTCAGGTTGCCCCGATGCTAAAAGTTGCTTAAGAACCCGCCCCCCCCCCCCCCCCAAAAAAAAGAAACAAAGCAAAATCACACATATATATATATATATCTTGCACCTATAAGGAAGATGTTTCTTGATTTTTTGGGGGTTCGTAAAGCAGTTAGTAAGATGTCAGAGAGCATTGTCACAGTGTGCTTGGGCGTGTGCATGGCTCTTCAACCATCGCTTGTTCACAGCTCCAAGGACAGGTTGGGCAAAGATTTATCCTGTCTTTTCGATATTGTGCAGACAAGTACCTGGGACAACGCATCGTTCGCGTCCGATGCTGATAGAAGCACGGGCAGCGCTAGCACCTTGGCTGAGCAAAGCTCAATTGTTGAAAGTGAGCACTGCTGCAGTTGCATTGAGAAGTAAGGGCTTTCGACGGTTTTGGGCGGGGTCCCTAGGTAGAGAGGGTGTAGAGAGCGAGTCCGAACTGGGTGCCCAAACGGTCTTTAGGGGCTTCTTCGGGGTCCCCGGCGTAGGCACGTTCCTGGCGGTCTGCGCGCCGTAGGATTCGTAGGGGGTCCGGTTTCGCGCCAGTGCCCCGGTAGGTCCGGCCGAGCTACCCAATTCCTAGCAGTTGATCACGGTGTTGTGGGTCCCGAGTGTATGAGATTCTATGAGAACCTGGGACACGGGGAGGAGGCGCTCTTTTGATCGGGAGCTCGGCGGTTGAATGGCTGGGGCCAAAAGAGTTCCATTTTCGAGGAGGTGCAGGGTTTAGAGCCTTAAACCCGTGTAGCCGCCCTGCCCAATGCCATAGACTGGGGCACGATGCACTGTGTGGTACCATGGCGCTGGTCAACTTTGATCTTTGGGCGACTTGAAGGCTGTAGGAGTGGAGTGTTTGGCAGGCTTAGACGAGCTTGGTTCAACTTCTTGGCATGACTGTTAGCATTTGACCTTGCGAGGACTCGGCTGGTCTGAGTTGCGAGCGATTCTGCCCGAAGGCCCTCAATCTCAAGCCTCAAACCAGCTCATACGCCTGCAGATACACCGCCGTCTGTGCTCGCCTAGGTTTTTCTTCACCAAGGAGACGCCGAAGTCGTGGCTTGGTCGAAAAAGCACTTTTGGGTTCCGAACCCAGATTCAGAAAGATGCAACGGAAGCGAGGTCTGGGTTTAAATAGAGTTTGGAAGTAGGCCGGTTCAACACGAATTTGGACCATTTTGTAGGCTCAGGGCTTATGAATCCGCTACTTTGGCCTTGTCCTGCAAGCCTCCAGGAGCTAAAAGCGTCCATGACGCTTGTCTGCAAATCCGGGCAAGACCAGTTGGGCATGTGGCTCGCGTGTGCTAATCCAGGGTAGCCTCCGTAGCCGAGTCGGTAACCTTTACACTACTTTCGTTGAAACCCTACACCCCTGCTGAAGTCTTTGTTCAGACTTCTGAGTACTCCTCCACCCCGGACTGTGAACCCCTGAGCCCTCCTGTGTCCTGAATCTGGGTGCCTCGCTCACAAGCAATGCAGCACACCCCCAAGAGGACCGGCACAGACTACCAGTCCCTGACCCTCAGTTGTCTGTCATGAGAGCTCAGAATGAAGGAATTGATGAAAGCACTTAAAAAAGATTACTAGGTAGGCCCTTGCTTGGGACATTTTCTATTCTCCCTTATTGGGTTGAAGAGGATCATATTCATGAATATTTTTCAGAGGGTTCTAAGGGCCATCCTAGATTAGAGCGATGGAAAGAAGGACGTGCGCACACATATGAAGTGTATATATATATATATATATAATGCATATTTTACATAAATGCATACATTACGTACATACGTACACAGAGAGGTCTACAATGTATATGTGTGTATATATATATATATGCGTGTGTATATATTCTCGGAGTCACGGTTGGGAGTCGTGACAGAGGGCCGCTGGATGCACATGCGCATGCCTTTCAATGCAGTCGTGCCTGTCAGGATCCCGAAAGAAAGAAACCTCGCAAGTCTGTGAAATCGCCGAAAGTGGGACTTGAGGAGGCTTCCGCGTGTGGGATTGTTCAGCCGACTCCATTTGCAGCTGCCGTCTGTATTTGAGCACTCTGGTGCCGTGGATCCTTGGGTTCTTATGATCGCATCAGAGAAGGGAGAACTAAGTGGCACCCCTGCCTCCCACCACGAAGACATCGACATGTGTATCCATCCATCTTCCGTCTGACATGCCCGTAAACAGGTTGCACGTGCAGGCTGTTCAACACGCTGATTCCTAGCTTAACATGTCATGTCGTAGTGGTTCGGTAGCGCTAGAGCTTGACCAAAGGTCACGTCCGAATGGATTCTTTGGTCGCTTCCTCCTCTAAGTTCCAACTTTACAGAGTAGCTCTGCAAACGGCGCTTGTTGGTGGCGGTCAAGGTTTTGTTTTTAAAGATCCGGATCCATCGTTGCATCTGGGAGGCTAAAAAAGAGCTGCAGGCGCAGAGAGAGGCGCAGCTTCAGGCCCTCCAGGACTGAACCCTCATGGAAGGCACGAAGAGTACGCACACCCTGTCACGGTTTTGATTGGTTAATGTGTTTTCTACTGTTAGACTACTGATACTCACAAAAGTTCTTTAGCAGTGAAGGTGTGAACCTACCATTGGATACAGATGGGGGACAAATAAGGCACCCTTAATATAATATAGGTAGTCTTACAACAACATAGGTACCCTCACTATAATAAATGTAGCCTTACGACAAAATTTAGATACCCTTACTATAAAATATAGGTCCCTTAATAATGAAAATGTACGATATAGGTACCCTTGCTATAAAGGTATCCTGAATTGGAATATACCCAGAGGGTCCATTCGTAGTACGATTATGGAATTAGGTACCCCAAAACCCTAATTAGCATGGTTTTTGGGTACCTAATTCCATAATCGTACTACAAATGGACCCTCTGGGATAGGTACCCCTGATTTTCCCCGACTTGCAAAAAACAAACCCGCCAGATGGACGGGGCAGGACTGGAGCAAAAGCGGCTCGGAGGCTTCCTCTGTCCCGTCTTTCTTTTGAGCGCGCATCTGAGGGTTTAGGGTTTAGGGTTTAGGGTTTAGGATTTCGGGTTTAGAAATTAGGAATTAGGGTTCGTTTAGGGTTTAATCTTTTCGTGCGCTTGGACCAGTAGGAGATAGTAGTCGGTTGCAGGCCGAGTTGGGGATTTTGCTTTGTTGTTCTAATGCCAGAACTCTCTCACCTTGAGCTGGGATTCCTTTAGCATCCCGACTCCGTGAGCCTGCAGCCACGTGATCTTAAAATGTGGCGCAATATGAAATTCCCCAATAAGCTCCAAGCACAAGGCACTTCGGTTCGAACAGCTCGAAAGGCAATTCAGACTTCGATCTTCTCGCGGTTTCACGTTGTCACTCGTGCTCCGGGTCTTGATAGTGGCTGATAGTCGTGCTCGTTCTGCGGCTGCAAGCATTATTCTCACAGAACACCTCAGAGGCCCCAGAGATTATGCCACAAGTTTCTTGGTATCAGTGCTGTACTGGCCACAGCTGCTTTGGGCACAGCGCTCCCAGCGCTCCCCGAAATCGGGGCGACACGCAGAACAGGCGACAGGTTGGCTCAACTCAACTTAGCTGAGCGGCAAGCATCTGCATCATGTACTAATGTACTTTGCAGGAAGTGTTTTCTCAGAGCCAACAGTCCCAGGCTGTCATACCCTTGAAACAAGGGCAAGCTTCAGTGCAGCAATGCAGCCAGTGCGAAAAGGTGTAGCACGCAACATGCCTGCGGACACCAAGCGGGAACAGCACAGCTTTGATGACCGTAGAAGTGCTGTTGCAAGAGCCAGGGGCTAACGTTGTCCGATGTGCTCCTCATTCGAACAGCTCTACAACTTCTGAAGCCCGAAATCTTCTAAGCCCCCGGGGCTGCTAGGTGGCGCCAAGCCTAGTGAACCACAAAGCGACGTGCGACAGGGTGGCTGCGACTTTGCATTCTGGGCATCCCCTGTGCATGGGTCGACGCCTGAAGCTGGTTCATCAGTGCGGTTTCGTACGGCTATGTCCGATGGGTAGTTGGCGAAAGTAAACTCTTAAGGGAGCCAGAGTTCTGCTCACGGGCATTGAAGCTCGGCGCCGACGCCTCCATCCCCCTAATAGAAGAGCAAACACTAAATCCACCTCCAGCGCAGTTCCTCCCCCCCATTACTGATCATGGAAAGCAATGCTGGAATCGCTGGTTCGATGTAGCTCGGCAACCGTGTTTTCCCAAACACGAACCTTTTGGAACTGCAAGCCTGACTGGTAAGGTCAAGGCTACCCGAAGCAGCTGCCCACACAGGCAAGTTCTGGGCAAGCTCATGTTGCTACATGTGGTGTCTTGTGGGCCGAGCTCACGAAACTCAACCTCTGAAGGCTTGACATTCAGTGGGTTGCGGATGGCCACACCAAGCAGCAGTGCAATCCTTTTGCAAAAAGCGCATGGCGATGCGTAGCGATAGAATGAGCGCTTGGTCCTTGTTCCTTAAGCCTTCGAGCCCTGGACCCGTGCAACACGCAGAGACCTCGAGCGAGACCATCGCAACGCGGGTGGGGGCATGAACAGGCCTATAATAGCAACTCTGGCGACAGCTCCGCCAGCATGCTTAGGCGTGAGAGACGAAAGGCAACCAGGCTTCGACCGACTGAATGCCTGGCAGACTACACTGGAACACCTCCTTTCCCGCTCTTGGTGTTGCGGTGCCCGGCAAGAGGAAGCGTTGGATTCAAAGGACGAAGCAGTCGAAGTCCATGTCCATGTGCATCACATGTATGTTTGGGCAAGGGTGCAGTGGCGGCATGTGGCCTCATTAGGCCCATTAGGCAAACCATTGAGCTCCTCAAGGGGGCAACTGTGCCGGAATATGGTTTGCACGATGAGCCAGGGAAGCCCTGAGTTGGCAACTTTAGGGTTTAGGGTTTAGGGTTTAGGGTTTAGGGTCTCTTTAGGGTACAGGGGCATCCCGAAGCTGCTTCCCCTAAGCATCCTGCCGCAGTCGCTGTCGGCATGAGCTGAGCCCTAGGTAGGATAAGAAGGACCCTTAAAAGGGAACCCTTCTTAACCCTCTTCTGGCTCTCTTAAACAGGGACCTTATTCAGAGGGTCTATATCTCCAAGGATCCCCCAAATCCTATCCCCGATGCCTTGGGTGTCAGGCTTGGGGTGATCTCGGGCCTTGGCGCCTGCACGTTTGGGTCATTGCACTCCAGGTGTCTTTCTGATATGCCTGGTTGCGGTAGACTCTGTAGACAGTGACACGCTGGCAAGAGGGCATGGATGCCACCGCGATGCCGCAGGTCATCGAAGACGATTCAAGCGATGAAAGGCCAAGGCATGCATGCCCTTGCATGACTTTGGGGTGCTCCATCTCATTGGACCTCTGCCCTTTGCCAGCCTGAAGCTGCA